TCTGAGGAAAGTGGCGCTTTAAGGTGTCACAAGGATTGTGATTGACCTACTAAAAAACTTCAGTTAACGACTTAGGAAAACCGGTGACCAACCAAAGAAGTACACTGAACGACTTAACAAGGAGCTTTAGTGAACCACTTACAAAGATCTGTGATCAAGCTGCGAGGTACACTGTGTGACTTATGGTGTCTCTCGACCCATAAACCACTTCTCTAACTAGTCGACACAATGACTTGACCCTCTCACTGAACATCAGCAGCTAACATTGTGTCATGACACCAACCTAATTTACTCAATTTTCCTACTTTTTTATTTAAAAAGTCATAGCACCAAATGCCACAGGGGCCTTAATACTAGCCGCCACATGACATCTCTATTCACTGATAACCTGCACCTAATGTTGCGACATGACAATAACCCCTTTGTCATAACCTTTCATTTCATACTCTAAATAAAGTTATAGCTACAAACACCTTGACCCCTCAAAGGACAGTAAAACTACTCATGTACCTAGCTAACAAGCCAACCTGACCTCTTTCATGAACTATCGCACCTAACACCTCAACTCAACACCTACCTCATTTATTCAGGGGTTTTTTCATTTTCCCCTTCAAGTTATAGCACTATGTTCCAGAGACCCAGATGACCCCTAAACTCTCTTATGTAACTAGTCAACATGACACTTCACCCCCTCAAAAATCCACTGGCACCTTACAACATGACACCTGCTCCTTTGCCATAATTTTTTTTTTTTTTTATTATATATAAAGGGATAGCACCTTATGTTCTTTCCCCTCGATGACCCCTGAAACTCGTTATGAAATTAGCTAACATGACTCCATACTGAGCCACCAGTACCTAACACTGCACCATGACACAATCCCATTTTCCACTGCATAAAGTCATAGTACCATTTGCAGTGACCCCTCAATGAACTATAAACCCTCTTATTTAACTAATTGAGGGATAACTCTGTACAAGATATAGTCACTGTCTGTGTTTTTAAGGTGGGAGCCCATTTTAGGCAAATAGACCCGCTGTCCTCTGTACAACATGATTGAAGAGGTTCACATATCCTAGCCTAGCTGTATACTACCATAACCACAGCTAACAACCTACATGACAGCCGACTCATGCAGAGGCATGGTCGCCCGTCAGCATGGCACTTGCTGTTGCTGTTGATGTTTTACCACAAACCATCTCCTCAGTATGAATGTGCCTGTATAGTGACATCTGATACCACTCAATCTGCTATACCTATTAGAAATGATCTTAATGGACACGGGTTAATTTCCTTGTGTTTGCAAAAGTTACAATTTATGCGTGTACAAGCTGATACCACTCAATCTGCTAGACATGTTAGGAATAATCTTTTAACGGACACAGATTAGCTTCGTTGTGTTTGCCAAAACTACAATTCATGTGCGTACAAGTCATTTCATGACCTTTCAAGGTCATTTCTTTCTATGTAAAAGGGAGACAAAAAGATATGTCTTCTGCTGTATGGTGATAGAACATTATTCCTAATAATTATAATAACTTTGCTAGACGTTCTTATTTTTTCACTTTTACTTTCCATTGAACTTGTTATTAATTTTGAACTCTTTTCAAAATGTTTGCTTTACATTTTTATCAGTACATAATAATATTTAATAAATATTTATGCCAACCTTACATTTAATATCTAAACCATTTAGAGTTTTTAATTTAATTTATCTAAGAGAACCATATATAAACAGCATACCTACCAAAATACATTTCATCTAACAAACTGATATGCCGTCATCTTGGGTCTGAACCCAAAAAAAAACTGCCAGCATCCACGTGACCAGACAGTATTTATCTTCTATTATATAAGCCCCCTGGGTATCCCCAAAAGTGACAAGGGGAAAATTTATACAGAGGTTGTTATAGAGACTTACTTACTTAGTCGCTCCTCTTCTACCTTGGGGTGTAGAGGTTTGCTGAAACCCTCGGTTCTTCTGCTACACATGTTATTTGAGAAAAAAAAAATTATCGACCGTTGGGGGGAAATCGCCCCTTTTCAGACCTATCCTCGATAGTAGGAGAAGCGTAGAAAGACTGTCTAAGTATCATAGGAGGATCCTTCTACAAATCGGTATGTTTCCTTGCTGGCATACTACTGATAAGGTTCTCAAAAATTCTCGAAATAACATTTGTCCATTTAAGGGCGACGCCATCAGACAAGAAACTGAGATATTTTGTACTTGACCTTGGGTGTCAGCTGGCTCTGTGCTGGTTTTTAGGGATCCTTATGAAAGATTTCTGTCATTCATTTTTCTCGTGCACTAAGGCACTATGGATCAAGCAAAGGGATTTTTATCAAAATCCAAGCTAAGCTGACCAAAAAACCTAGCAATATTTTCGTTATACCCATTATGTCCCATTTATCTACTATGTTAACCCATTCTAACTCAATTACAACAAGTTTTTTCAAAGCTATACTTTTCAGTTAGATAAGACAAACACAGTTGTTGCTCTAAAGTATTTAAAGGGGTAGAAACTTTTAGGGAAGAGAGAAAAGTTGGTAAGAAAAAGCAAACAGTTTATGTTAGCTTTACAAAATCGATCACACAAAAAACAAAGGACGTTGCGGTGATTAGCCTTCATCAGTACATAAAGAACAACACAGTACACATACACAAATATGCTCTAACTATGAAGTGACTACACAGGACTCTAAAGTACAAAATAAATGATACTCATCTGTGTCCCTGGCGAAAAAACTTCGTTCAAGAGAATGATTCGGACAGGTACTAGCCTATATATTACGAACGTGCGGACGGGGAGCAAAAAAACGGGGTCAGTATACCTAGAAAAGGGGCGGAGTAGACGCCCACAGACACACCAGTATCTAAAGAGGAAGGGAGGGGTTAACCAATAAGGCGTAACCAGGGTTGGGTTGTGGGGATGACATTAGTTCATCCGTATGGAATAAAAGTGATGCTTGTGCTAGCAAACAAATACCAACAGACAGTCAGGCAGGCTGGCAGATAGGCATGCTGATAGACAGACAGACAGACAGACAGACAGTCAGTCAGTCAGTCAGTCAGACAGACAGACAGACAGACAGACAGACAGACAGACAGAAAGACAGACAGACAGACAGACAGACAGACAGACAGACAGACAGACAGACAGACAGACAGACAGACAGACAGACAGATCATGGATGGTGGGGTGAATGAGTAGTGGGTGGTTGGATCAATGGGCAGGTAGACAAATAGACGAAATGATGGATGACTATACTCATAAATGGATGGAAAGTATAATGGGTGGATGGATCGGCTTATATGTGTGCCAGTATATGAAATCAAGTAAAAACAAGGGTCTCAAGACAGGATGCTTCTCTCTTACTGTCAGCTATGAAATAGAGACAGTAAGGGTGATTGTTATAGAAACCGAGCACAGAACTGGTGAAAACCAGAATGTCAGGAAGCATAGGAAAAATAGCATTGGTAGATGGTAGGGTGAGTGGGCAAGTGGGTGGTGAGATAGATGGGTGGGTAGATGAATGGATGGGAAAAGGATGGCTATATTAGTGGATGAATGGCAATGCTAATATATAAAATCCGGTAAAAACAAGGGTCTCATGATAAGTTGCTTCTCTCTTACTGTCAGCCTGTCAGCTATCAAATAGAGACAGTAAGGATGCTTGTTATACAAAGTTATCAGTCGAGCCCAAGCGTAAAACTGGTAACAACCAGAATGTAAAGGAGCGATGGGAGGATAGATGGGAAAAGAGCATGTGTGGATGGTGGAGTGAATGGATGAGTGGATTGTGGGATAGATGGGTGGGTAGATGAATGAATGGTTTGAGTGATGGATGACTGTATTTGTGGATGAATGGAATGGTATATGGATGGTTGGATCGGCCTAAATATGAAATGAGGTAAAAACATGGGTCTAGTAACACAGTGCTTCTCTCTTACTGTCAGCTATCAAATAGAGACAGCAGGGGTGATTTTTATACAAAGTATTAGTTGAGCCCAAGCGCAAAGCTGGTAACAGTCGGAATGAAAGGGAGTGGTGGAAAATAGCATTTAGTGGATGATGGGCTGAGTGGATGGTGGGATAAATGGTGTGTTAGATGAATGGGTGGGATGATGGCTATGTTCATGGATAGATGCAATGGTAGATGGATGGATGGATGGATAGGCCAATATATATGCTATAAAGTATTAAACTTTAGGATAGACAGTCTGTTCTGCCATCATATGTAAAGATGCTCCTTGAGTACTAAAAGTGTTAAACTCGTTTTAAATCTTTTTATCTTTATGTTGATAGTTTGATGTTCTCTTGCCATACACATGACTTTAGACTAGACACAATCTGCTAATAGCCACACCTTTCTTATGTACACCTCATAATGTATTTGTACTAGTATAATAATCGGCTAGACAAAGTTAAGGGGAGGGAAAGAAAGATGTGTCAATACTTACAGTTACTTCACCTGAAATTTGCTAGTATTAGTGTAGTGATATTAATGTCTGCATCTGCAAGCATAATACAGCATTAAGTACATATTTTTCTGAATATATTTGACTGCCAGCAAATTCTAGCACAATTTAAAATACAAGGTTTACCACAGACAACCCAAAAAAAACCACATTCCACATGCTTCAAGAGCTCACTGTGTCGCATTAAGCACTCAACTCAGTAGTTGGCGATGGAATCTTTGAACATTCCATCCAGAAATGGGAAAATTGAATAAGCAAACTGCAACCCAGAAATAAATAATTTTTCAAAGCATCAGCAATCAGCTTGCCTATCCACCATACTAGACCAGAAGTCAAGATCACATACACAGGGTATTTGTTAATACAATATGTTTTCTTTTTCACAACTTTTTAAATTAGAAGTTTACAAAGGAGCATTTTAAAGAAAAGTGAAAAAAGTGTGCAATGAATACATCTAAAAAACAATGATATGGGAAAATGACCAGTAACGTACTATGAACTGGATACCACCTATAAATACTAAGAGTCCCTGTCCTGCTTAGGTTTTTTCTTCAACTTTCTGTTTCTCTCCCAACGTATCGTGTCTGCTTCAAGGGATGCTAGCTCCATAAGACGTTGCTGGAAAGAAGCAGGTGCTCCTATTAAAGGATCTTGATACTTCTGATCTGTGAGGTAAATAGATTAATTAGTATTTGACTTGTTTGTTATTTGAAAGGGTAAAAACACTTTAAAGATGACTGAATAAAAATCTCAAGAGAATAATAACGTTGAATGTTAAATTAGGAATCAACATCCCAGTACTCGGAACACTCCCATAAGCGCTCTGTCCTCATCTTCAGCAGCAAACGAAGAGTTCCAATTCTGACTGCACCAGTAATTGTCTGATTGTATATCCATCTCTCAGCACCATTATCCTCAGAGGATAATGATCTATCTGTGCCTCCACACTGTTTACTGGCTCCCAAAGGGCCCTCACTATATCTAGCTTGACACACATTAATTCGCCATCAAGTGGTTCACAGCCGGCCAATCTGTTTGCCTGCTCATTTACATACACACCAGAATGACCTGGAGAAAATATCCTAAGAATGCTAACTACCCAGGACCTCTTATGTGATGTTTGCCACTCTGCATAGAGCATGCCTGTCTCTATCTCAATCAATATGCTCTTTGAGTCAGTTTCAATCACAGCAAAAATGCTGCTTATGACAAATCAACTTCCAACTGGGTAAGAGAAATCAAATGCAAAAACAAACAAAAATGCACACACACAAATATAAGACCAGATTTTTAACAATTTTACACCAAAAAAAATGGCTAATTAACATATGGAAATTATCATTAAAGAACTACTTTTAAAAATAGAGCTATTGTACACAGGTCACTAATATTTTTATTATAACGGTTTTACGTACATTGATTTACTTTTTCTAAGTATATAAAGATAAACAAAGGGAGTAATGAAAAAACATAAAGAGAATAAAAAATTAAATAGAATACTATTTCCGGGGTCTAACAAAAAAAAAAAAGGTATGCTTTAGGTGATTAATGTCATGATACTGTGACCTCTGTCACTGAGACTTGCAGGAACATTTGATTTCAGCTTGGCTTTACAAAAGCTATTTGGGTCACAGAAAAACACTAAATGCTATTTTTAGGTAATACATTGTGTAGGTACAGATAGAACCAACGGTATCTCACTTTATTTTTCAAGAACAGGTCACTGCATTAATACTGCTATAAAGTAACTAGATCTAGTCTTCTTGACCTGACAGAGTTAACCCTCTTGTTCTGAAAAAGCTAAACTTTCTGCCAGAATTTACAGTCAGTGAACATGAAGAAGACAAAGATAACCAGCAATACAAAATACTGTTCAAACTTATCAGAGCTGCCTTAGCAATGCTGAAAGTAAACAGCGTAAAGAACCTATGGCTAAATATAGATAGCCTATATCTATGGCCTGTAAAGAACAGAACCGGAATGCATGTTTCTGAAAGAAAAGGAGAGGTGGAACAGCATGTTTGTAGACACAAATCATTAAAGAATCTCTTGGCATACAAATGTATGAGAATCAGTCAAGAACTGAGAATACTGATAATAGGTTGTGATGTGAGAGTTGTTCTGAAAAGCCTCTGCTGCATGATGATGACCAGTTTCCAAGGAAAACCAAACTAACCCCTTATAAGAGGTACAGACACATTTAAGCTTCATGTTCATGCAACATACCTTCACTGTTGTGACAAAGAGTTTTGAAAAGCTCTGCACTAGAGCATTATCTTTTTTTTTTTTTTTTTTGGTGGTGTAACATTGCTCTTGCAAGATTTGTCCATACATGTTGTTTGAGATGTTTGTCGATTCCAATAACCAACTCTAATATGCTTTAATCCCAGACGTTCTTTTTTCTTTTTTACCCGACTCTCCGGGCTCCCGCTCTCCTATCTCTATGCCTTCATCTTTCTCTATTTCTGCGTCTTCTAATCTTCCCACTGTCACTGTTGCCATCTGAAGATGGTATCATGCATGTTGCTCTGATGATGATTCTTTTTTTATTATTAAGTACAAAATCCATAGAAAATATTCTTTTAGTGCCGAAAATAAAAGGTTACCCTGGTATTGCCTGCTTGCTAGGAAAAAAGGTAGGGAAAGTCTCACCCGCTAATCAGACATTTATGACTGTAAAGCCCACAGTCATTCAGCCAATAGGCATGAAAGTCCACCGTAAGCTTAGGATTTGTTTTAATCGAGGTTGTCTCCTCTAGATTCATTGTGTTTTTTGCGTCTTCGATCATGTACAAGTCTTAACTGTAGGAGAGATTTCTGGATCAAGGGACTAATGGCCTAAGTGTGTCCCTTTCATCTGATATATACAAAAGGTACAAGTACTCTTGGGCTAGACCAAGCTGTCAAGGAAGAACATCTGGCGTGCTCCACTGCTTGGGAGATCAGACATCTACAGCCCAAAATCTCTTTGACCCTTGTGTATTTTAGCGCAAAAGAATCAGAATTAGCCATATTCACATATAGTTTGTCCATGCTGCTAAGGTCATTAAGACCAGTGGCAAAAACATCAAACAATTAATAATAATTTAATAGCCTGAAGTGATGGCATGGAGTAATATCATCAGTGGAATTGATTCAAAATATCAAGGACTGAAATCTGTGGAGAAGTTAGAGTCTGGCCAGTCACATGACAATGAGGATGATGATGAGGTGGTTTCATGATGCATGATTTCTTTACAGATATGCAAGCTGAAAAATTAGCTTATTTCAATCCAGTTAAAATATTGTTACTTAATGCATATTTGCCTGCTAAGCTTCAGAGCTCTTTTTTTCTTTCTGTTAAATTTTTCTTTGCTTAGCTCCCAGTATTGACTGTCATGCCTTGTTTTCAGTGAGAAATTTTTTTTTCAGGAAGGGGGGGGGGGGGGTCTATAAATTCTTCCAAAAACATATGCTTCCTGATCACCTGATCATAGACCCTAAATGATAATAACCTCAAATTGCTGTTTACTTTCTATGTTTCATATCAAATGCTTATATAAACATGTTTAATCCTTTCTATAACATGTATGTTAGTAGTATAATAAGTATAATACAAGAAAGAGTACTTACTATCTTTATTACTGTGCATATTCAGCTGTTTGCCAAACATTGTATTAGACATACCATTCACACTAGAAATATAACTAGGTTTTGTGTTAGATTCTGATAATTTTCTGTAGGAAGCACCATTGTTACAGTTACTATTGCTGCTATTACTGCCATTAGTAGATGGAAGACCTAATATTGAAGTCTTGCTCAAAACAGAGCTACTGCTGGAAACAGAGATGCCCTGACCACTACTAAGACTTCCAGCCATCAAGTTGTTATTCAAAGTGCTGCTGCTAATTGGAATCCATAAAGTTCCCATTGCAACAAGGTTATCCGAATTACGATCTAAAAAGAAAAGAAAACAGTGTTCACATGTAAATTCTTTTACTTGTATCATACACAGACAAGACACACAAAAGAACAGAGCAATTAGCCTCAAGTGAAAATAAGTAGTCAAGAAAAAGGAAGACAGAGTGAAATACATGGAAAGCTAAAAAAAACTGGGTAAAAAATTAACAACCAACACCAGATTCATCTCTTTCTTCTTTCGTTATCACACTGTCAACGTTGCAGCCCACTGTTATCAGTATTAGTCTTGCCTTGCATTTCTTAGGTGGCTTGAATGATGGTTTTGTCAGTCAATTTTTTTGAATAGGTTTCAGCTGCACCATCGATTCATTTCTTCCTTTGTCTTTGTCTCGCTTTCCGCCCAGATGTGCTGCTCTTAAAAGTCTCATATAAAGTTTGGTCTGGCGGTATTCTTACTAGATGGCTAAACCACTTTGATCTCTGTCTTTCAATTTAATTCAGGCAAGGTCTTACCCCAACCCTCTCCCTCATGCTCATATTTGTGATCCTGTCCCTTCATGTATTTTGATAACCTTTTGGAGACAGTGCATGTAACAAGTGGTTAAATTCTGTTCCTGTGTTTCCACTGGCCATGTGTGGCTCTGACAGCACAAAGTGGTGATAAAGATGCTATTATTTATTTGTTGTTTTGCTGAAAGAGAGACAGCTGAGTAGCTGGGCAGGGGGATTAGCTGATAAGTGACAGCATTTGCCTTCTTGACCCAAGCTTTTATCTCTCTATTCAGTCAGCCATCTCCAGTAATTATGCTTTCTATCTATTTGAATGCATGTACTTGTTTGATTGTAGTAGCATCAATGGCATGAACATTTTTACCTTTCTCATTACCTCAGTTTCCCTCATAGCAGATCATCATGGTTTGAAAGAAATGGGGCAGTTATCAGAGGATATTGTTGCTACTGGACACTCAAGTGACAAGCCAAATGGAAATAAAACCCAATCCATTACTGGTGCTTATGGGAATGCTCTGAGTGCAGTGATGTTGATTCTGGACTCAGCTCAGCTCAACTTGTAGTATTTATTCCTATGTCATCTTTGTGCAGGTGTGATACAAGTAAACAATACAATGATGATGTTCTTGGTGTATCAGATATTGATCATCTGCTAAAAGCAGTTTACTGATTTCTGTATTGTCTTTATTTTCCTTCTGTGTAATTCTGTCTACATAAGTAATAGGGAGCAATGGTAAGAAGACACATTCTTATCTGACACATGATGTGATGGGGAACCATTTTGTCAATCCTTCTGTCATTCTAACTGTACACTGACAAAGAGTCATGGTATTACCCAACAGCTGACCTTATATACCATATTATTTTAGAACCTTCCAAAGTATGCTTCTACTGACTTGAATGAATGTATTCCCTTTGTCTGAAAATATAAAGTATTGACTTGTATCTTGTTCAGGTGTGTGCTTACATAACTTCTAAGTGTGAATACTGTATTAGTGCAACTCTTCCGCTTCCTGAAACCAAACTGTCTCTACTTATTAGGGGGTTCAAGTATTGATCTGTGTCTTATTTTAATTATTTCTACTAACATCTACCAACTTCATAACATTATCCACTGACAGGAAGGACTGGAAAGCCATGTTTGCTTCAGATCTGCCACCGAAGTTATTTATCAATATATATTATTATTTCAATTATCAGTGATTTCCTTGCATTTCAGTATTATTATAGTACATATATTATAAGAGAGAATGATATCATCATCATCCAGTTAATTAAACCAAACAATGTCTTTTACATTGCACCATTATTAACAGAGCTTGCGTGCCAGCCCACTGGTCATGTGTTCAAGTCCCTTTCAAGGCAGGGATTTTAAAATCTTAATTGAACTCATGGTTCAAATCTAGCCTAAAATAGGTATCAGAATGCTTTTCACATTCCAAGATTCCCTGCCATATATCATAATGGGTTTTATTTAATAATAATATTTTCTGACCTTCAGTTAAAGTGATTTATCATTAATTTAATTATAAATTCACAACACAAATAGTGCAGACACAATCCCCCTAATTTTCATGTAATCACCTCTTCCTCTTTTAAATGACAATTTTCCACTAAACTTATATACCATTCACTTTTAATCATAGAGTACCTGGATTGGATTTTGTAGTTCGTTGTGTTGAAAGCTGCTCCCCCTTACATAGGTTTCCTCGAAATCCATTAGTTCTGTGACCTGATTTTTGCTGGGCTGAAATGTTTGATGCACACATTCCATCAGGACCTACTGTCAGTAACAAAATATAATTGCAAATAAATTATTTACTGACCTGCAAACAATAATTATTTAGGTAGAAGGAGATACAAAGAAATAAATTATGACATGCATTAGCAGTCTTTAAAAGCTTGAACAAAATAGTGAACTCTAAATTGTAAAGTTTAAAAACGAAGTTACGCATTTCCTGTAACATATGCCAGTGAAAGTTGGAGAACCAATAAAGACACGGAACTAAAGATAAATGCATTCAAAAACGAGTGTGTGAAGAAAGTGAAAAAAATAAAATGGGGTTAATTCAAAAGGGGTGAAGAAATAAGAGAAATGTCTGGACATCCAATGGTATCCACAGTTAAAAGACAGAGAAGATGGGGGGGGGGAGGATTGAGGAGGCGAGAATGCCCCCCCCCCCAAAGTAAAATAAACACTGATGAGAGAGGCCAAGGGTGCAAGACTGGATTCCATCCATGATGTCCAACCGGACTGCACAGGATAGAAGGGAATGGGGTATTGACTGCTAGCCCATTGTGACATAGTTCGGAGAACTGAGCACGCATGGGTATGCCCAATGTGCAGTGACATCAAGTGTGATAACAAAACATAAAATAACATCTTGTAGGGAGTCGGCAGTCCGAAACCCAAGTTCAAGGTGTCTTCTTCGTGCCAAAGAACTGCATGGCTGTTGGGTGAACAGTCATTAATGAAGCCAGGCAGGTCGTTGTAGGGGCGACGCCTGCTGGTGGATGTAATGTCCTAAGTCCCTTCCCCAGCTAATAATGAGGGTACTGCTGGGGTGACCGTTTATTAACCCTCATATAATGCTTCAGGTCAAAATGGACGCTAGGCACGGCCACCTTTTTTTTCCCCTGCCAAACGGTGGCCATTGCATTTTTGCTCCATTTGTAGACTGGTAGGATATAGTTTCGTCGCCCAGCTTCTGAGTTGAGTGCATGGCGTGACACTGTGAGCTACGTATATTTTTTTAGTTGGCACAGGAGCGGAGCAACTATGGGGTGACCCGCTTGCTATGAAGCTGAAACTAGGATTACCAGATTAGCAGATGTGACATATAATGGCACAACAGGACAATGAATGAATGAAAACAACACTGGCAGGAATGAGTAGAATGTTAATATTGTTGAATGCTGAATAAAGAATCAACATTACAGCACTGAGGATACTTCCATAAGCGCTCCATCCTATCTTCAGCACTGAAGAGTTCCATTTCCTATGGCACTAGTAACTCTAAAAGTGCATCTATCTCATCTTTCCCTTGAGTGTTTACCATTGGCCAGATCCCCTGGTAAACTCCTTGCAGTGCCATTCTCCCCAGACAGCAACAATAGATCTGTGCCTCCTCACTGCTCATGTGTTTCCAAAGGCCCCCACAATATTTAGCTTGTCATACAACAGTTTACCAACAAGTGGTGCAGAGCTAGCCAGCCTATCTGCCTGCTCATTTCCCAATACACTAGTATAACCTGTAGAAAATATTCAAAGGAACGCTAGTTACCTGGGACCTCTGAAGCAATGCTTGCCACTCTGAATGGAGCATGCCTGTCTCCACCTTTCTCAACATGCTTTGGGAGTCAGTTACAATCACAAAATGTAAGCTGATTCTCAAGGCAGCAGTGACTGCCCACCTCCATTCTCAAACTAGACATTGTGATATCACATACCAGGCTTTGTTGCACTAAGCAACGTCCATTCACTTTTGCTATGAGCCCCCATGCACTTCATCTGCCCCTCAACACTGAGCCATCTGTACAGATAATCACATCACCTGGGTGGGAATTGTCATGAATCATTTGTCAAACTTCTGATTCTGCAGTACAAACTGGCCAGTCCCTGCACTCATGATTTAAAGTCATAAGAACCCTACACAAGTCTAAAACTTTATTGGACCCCTTGACCCACTCCTCTTTTCAAATTTATCAAGCCTGCACAGCTTGTGCCTATCAAGACCTTCCTCTTTTCAGTTTGGGACCCTTAGCTCTACCTAGTGCTTCATTTAGAAGGTGCTTCTTGTCTGCAGCTACTATAAGATATGACTTGGCTTGCAGAACTTTGAGCCTATACGCAATAGTAGGAAGCAAGTGTACATCACATACATGCTACCTTGGTATCTCTTGTACATCCGAGAATTAGCCACACGGCTTCATTGTGTATAGGTGTCGCAGAGTGAACAGCCAACCCTACACTGTGGACTATTCGTGACACTGACATCCCTAGCGGGCACGTCACATTTCAAATTTAAACCCGTCCGGCGGGGGGGGGGGGGTATATAGTCCCTCATATTGATATATACCTTTATCTGGTAAAATAAACATTTCTATACCCTCTAGTTGTTTTGAGAAGTCTACATTTTCAAACTTGCAACTGTGGGATAGATATTTCTTGAATATTATCCAGAAATTCCTGTAAGCCCTTTTACCCCTTGGGCACGAATACAGGACTTCTTTTCTAGAGATGCCAAGCGGAATCTGGGGCGGGCATTCTTTTGCCAGACCTCTGAAGTGTCGGGAGATATTTCAATTCTCTCATTAAACTTGGGCGCATTCAAAATACCAGTTTAATCTTTGAAGGATTCCTAAGCTTGGGTAAGTCGATTATAGTTTACGAGTACGTTGATATATGTCTCTTTAAAGTTGGCCACTGCTGCAGGGAGGGAAGATTCAGCTGTGTGACCACACTTGATGTCCAGACAGTCAAGCCCCTAAAATCAAACCTTTCCCTTCGCAGGCTTATAGTTTGT